CCGCTGTGTGGACAGCAGCGCCGCCTTCCTCCAAGGGCTGTGGCAACACTGCCACCCGGGACTGCCACCGCCCGACGTCTCAGGTGACAGACTGCGCGCCCCGCCTCCCCCAGATCCGGACCCCCAGCTCAGCCTCTGCCCGCGTCCCCCTTTCCAGCCTCACGCTCCCACCGCCACCCGCCTTTGCGCTGTCTCGGTTATTTTCATTTGTACGCTTGTTTCGTCACTCATCAGATATGAATTCCTAGCATTTTCTGCGCCAGGGGTGCTGTAGGGGACCCCGGAGATCCAGCAGGAAGGAGGGGGGGGGGAAAGTATCGCTCCTAATTTTACATACCCCATTCTCAACTGGGCGCATTCTTTAAAATAATATAGAGCTTTCTCCCTCTGCTTTGCTTATGGGAGTTGGACTTTTTTTTAAAATCATGGTCTTTTCAGGTGTTTCTACATTGACTTGCTGTTTGAAGAAGCCACCCCTCAAATTCTCTCTATGCCCTACTGTCCCCTTCTGTTGTGTTCCTGTGTTTACTGTAGCGTTTCCCTCGCTGTACCTGGGATATATGATCGCATGCACACCACCTTACCAACTTACTCCATCCTTACACCGTTTCAGAATTTGGGAGCTTTTGGGGGCGGAGTCGTCTTAGTGTGTCTCCTTCGCTGCCCTTACATAGTTTATGACCAGTCAGGCCAGAATCCAGGCTTGTGGACTTTTCTAGATTGGTGCCTTTTCCCTCCTAAATGTTTTCGTTGCTGCGGATGTTAACAGCAAACTTAATGCCTCTTGTAGGCCATGCACGCTTCACATTTAGTTTGGTGAAAACTTACCGTTGCTTTATGAAGTCGATAATTGTGTCCCCTGCCAATCTCACGGATGAAGAACTGAAACAAAAATACCAAATAACTTACCCATTTTCATACAGCTAAATGTGGATCTAGGAAATTTAGATTTAGAACTTGCTCTCAACCGTTACACCATACATCTGTGTACTTACCTGTACTTACCTGTGTACTTACCTGAAAATAGCATGTAACGTTTTTGTACCAAAAGATGAGCAAGTGTTAGCAACTGCTTATCAGTTTTAAAAGAAGAGAACTGAAGTAAGGGACATCATGAGCCTTTGGAGACTCCAAAAACTGGAAGAACTCACTTTGTCATTTCTTCCGTAACACTTAAAAACCTCTTCTAGAAACTTCCCCAGTGTTGTATGTCATGCTCCTACTTTGTGGATAGCTCAGCTGGCTGACATATGTGTGCTTATTTGAGTGTGCTTTTTAAATATGACTACATTGTTTTTCATTAGATAGAATGAAAATCCTCCTAAATCCATTAACATTAACTTGAGTCTCAAAGCTAGAACATTTAAAATAGCACCTTGGCGCTGGTGAGATGGCTCAGTAGGTAAAGGCACTTGCAGCCAAGTCTGATGGCCTGAGTTGGATCACTGAGTATACATAGTGAAGGGAGGGAACTGAGTCCTGCTAGCTGCACAGTAAAAAAATACCATTTTTTAAAAAGCACAGTGTGACTGTGTAAGTGTGTGTGTGTGTGTGTGTGTGTGTGTGTGTGTGTGTGTATCCATAGCCATCCTACTAGGATAAATGAATTATGGTACTCAAATTGCATTGTGAGGATTGGCATTTGCCTCGAGTACAAAGCCAGGGATGGAAACAGATTGGGGCAAATCTAACCCTCATTGTTTCAGTCCCAGAAGTTAAACTCACCCCTGGCCACCCCCTTTTCATCTGCAGAGGGTTGTTTTGTCTATTGTATACATCTGGACTTCTGAGAAAGGCCACAGAATCATAGTTTAGGTTTCTATAGAAACAGAATATGTAATTTGGTAACACAAATGAAAGGTTGTTCTTTGGGGCCATATAGGAAGATGACAGAATTCTCTTATACAGGATGTTTCTGTAAGAACTATAATCCAATTAGCAAAGAGAGTAGACAGAATTACCGTTTGGAGGAATATATTTATGTACGTATTTATATTTTTGCACATATATCCAACATGTTTTTTCATGTTCATATACAGAAACATACTTAGTGTTCTTTTCCTAGTCAAAGAAGGATGATTGAGATGTTTTGAATATAACTAGGAAAAGGACCCAAGTTGAAGCATAATAATGAATGCTTTTCCAATAAATATTTGTTGCCAACTTGTGGAAATAATATAACCTAGTAAATGCTAACCCGGAAGCCGTCTGAGAGCTTCAGGCAGAAGAGGAGCTAGACCAAATGTGCTTGGCTTCTGACATGAAACAGTAGACCTACAACATCCATGTTGCTTTGCTGTTTCTAGTAGTTTTTGTCAAAACAGAATATTTTGTATTAGAAATTAGTTGAGAAAATGAAATGCTCCGCTTGGAGTTTTGCTTAGTGGGGAGAAGCAGACCTGTCCAATTTTCCACCAGGTGTCTGGAAACTGCTGGTTTCTAGTTTGCTTTCCAAGGGCACGTATGCTGCAGGGAAGCAATACTTCACAACTGCTTTGCACTTTTACACTTCCTTGATTATTCTTGCTTTAAGAAAACATGTATTTTATATATGCATAATTTTCTGGTATAGTATTGCTTTAACTCATTTCTTCTCAACCTACTTTTTTTAAAGTCTTTTCTAGTATATCAGCTCATACATTATAATTGTTATAAATGAAGAAGCTATGCTGGGGTTGGAGCTTGGTGGGTAGAGAGCTGGCCTAGCATACAGAGGCCCTGACTTTAACCCCCAATACCTCAAAAAAGCAGAGCAAACAAACACCTCACAAAAACAAAACAAAACAACATTCTCTTTGGGGCTGGAGAGATGGCTCAGTGGTTGAGAGTATTGCTTTTGCAGAGGACCAAAGGTCCGTTGCAGGTACCATATCAGGCGACGCACATCTATCTGTGAACTCCAGCGCCCAGCGCCCTGCGCCCCGGGACCTGACTTCCTCTTCCACCTCCACTAGCAACTGCACCAGTCTCTTGATCGATGTTTCCCCCACCCCAGCCCCCAGAAACAGCTTAAATGTTTCTTAAATGTTCTCTTTTCACACTTTAAATTTCAGTAATTGTCACTTATGCCAATGATTTACACATGTACGCTTTTTTCACTTCAGATATGGAGTGTGACCCTCCAAGAATTAATGATAAACTAATGAGGTTCTTCGATCATTGTGAGAAATTTTTAACTGACGTGGAAAGAAATGAGTCAGCTCTTTATCATGTAGAAGCCTTCAAAACTGGACCTGAAATGCAGAAGATTTTAAACAAAGTTGCAGCTACTTTGCAAGTGCCAGTAAGCAGTTTAAATGCAGGTAATGATAAATAAAATCTGTTGTATTTCATTTAAATTCTGGTTTAAATGGTTTGAAAGTGTTAAATGTAAACAAAACAGTTACTCTTCTTAGGGTTCAAAATTATAGTAATGTTAACTAAATAGTATGTCTTGGGTCAGGAAAATTATATACCACATGCTTAATTTTATTTTTGTATTTTAAACTTTTATAAATTAATATGCAAGGTTCTTTTTTGGGTTTTTTTCTTTTCTTTCTTTTTGGGGGGGGTTGATACAGGGTTTCTCTGTGGCTTTGGAGGTTGTCCTGGAACTAGCTTTGTAGACCAGGCTGGCCTCGAACTCACAGAGATCTGCCCGCCTCTGCCTCCCAAGTGCTGAGATTAAAGATGTAAGCCACCAATGTCCAGCAATATACAAGGTTCTTTTTTTTTTTCCATTTTTTATTTGAATTAGAAACAAGATTGTTTTACATGTCAATCCCAATCTCCCTCCCCTCCTTCCCTGCCCCCCCCCAACTAAAACCCTACCTATCACATATCCTTTCTGTTTCCCAGGGGGGTGAGGCCTTCCTTAGGGGATCTTCAGAGTCTGTCATATCCTTTGGGATAGGGCCTAAGCCCACCCCCCTGTGTCTTGGCTCAGGTAGTATCCCTCTATGTGGAATGGGCTCCCAAAGTCCATTCCTATGCTAGGGATAAGTACTGATCTACTATAAGAGGCCCCATGATTTCTGAGGCCTCCTCACTGACACCCAGGTTCCTGGGATCTGGATCAGTCCTATGCTGGTTTCCCAGCTATCAGTGTGGGGACCAGGAGCTCCCCCTTGTTCAGGTCAGCTATACAAGGTTCTTAAATGTGGACTTTTTGTGAAAGTCTCATCTCTAAGCATAACTTATAATTTAAAAACCGTCTTTTCTAAATTATCTCTTTGTAAAAAAGTCATGTAAATCATTTAGCTTGGGGAAACTTTAGGAGTGCATGTTACTGTGGAGAATGGTAGTTTTAGAAAGTGAAAAGTAAGCTGGGTTTCAGCTGTTACAGGTAGATTCCAAGGGCAGGAGTAGACACATCTGTCTTGAACTGTTGTAGTGAATCGGCTGCCTGTGGCTGGGACACTTTGGAGAGTGAAAGTAGATGACCACAGTGAGAAACAGGACACGTGGTCACCTAGCAATTGAAAATTAAGAAAATGAAGGTTTTTGTCTTATTTTTCCAGAACTTTTTAATTTATTATGGGTATTGGTGAATATTAATATGTAGTGAAGTGATTGTATGTCTCATTATATTGTGAGTCAGTTTCCAAAAGATTAGAAGAAGAAGAAGGTGTTGGTGGGAGGGGGATAAAGTTAAAATCTTCCACTATACCTGACTTGGTAAAGTGTTTGTTTGGTCATTTGCTTTCTGGTTATAGAATACACCACCTCATAGTTTGAGAGCTAGAACTGAGGCTCCAAATGAGCCATGTCAAGTCATCAGACATCCACAGTGTTAGCAAGTCACTCTGTTTTATTAGGTGTTGTGATTATAAAGCCTTCATCTTTATAGAAGCCAAAGTTTCCAATGGCTTCTATGTATATTCATAATGACATATAAATACAAGTCTTTAAAAAAGATTTTAGTGTGTGTGTGTGTGTGTGTGTGTGTGTGTATGTACGTGTACCACATGTATTGCCTGATGGTGCTCATGGATTCCAGAAGAGGGGGGTCAGACTCTCTGGAACTGATTACAGACCATTGTGAGCTTTCCCGTGGGTGCTGGAAATAGAACCTGAGTCCTCTATCAGAGCAGCTGGGGCTTTTAACTGCTGATCCATCTTTCCAACCCCCAAATGTATTTTTCTGTTAAATATATTACCTCAGGAATTCTTTAAACTGAACTGATACGGAATGTATATAATATCAGTTAATTAATCTTGGTTTCATTTTCCTTTGGGAAAGAAAAACAGTAAAATCAACCAAAAATCAGAGTAATGGTAGCAGCCCCTATGGTTAAGACCTCATCCCTTCACTCCCTGACCTCTCCAACTTTAGATGTTTCCCACGTGTTTACTAGGAAACCCAGTGTGTGATTCCTTTTGACCAGGCCTCCTTTCGTAGTCCAAGCACTAATTCATGTATCCCCTTCTTTAGTACCCACTTGTTAAAGGAAGGCAGTTAATAGTCTAAACATCCCTGGTTCCTGGTTCTGAAATTTCTTAGGCAGCTGAGTTTGAAAAATGGATCTTATTATCAAGTTGCCAACCTTCCGTTCTTGCTAGTATGGGGTGGTCCTTTCCTTGTTCTCTGCTTGCAGTCTTCCTCTTTCTCCACCCCTTCGTTCTGTTCTTCCTTCTCAATCTTCTGTGGTCCTCTCTCACATTGTTTGTGTCTCTGTTTATATGCTTAATAGTTACTATGTGAACTGTTCTGTAGTTTTAAAAACTGATAGTAAATATACTGTCATTATTAATGTGCAAGTAAGGACTAAAACTTTTAAAACTTTTGCTTCCCTTTTCTACCCTTCTAAAAATATCAGTGTGGAGTTCTATTCAGTAAGTCATTGGGTTAACCCGTTGTTGGGTTTGCTATGCAACATGCACTTAGAAATCAACTAGGTTTAAAAAACTATAAAATTGCCATTTGCAGACTGCTTTGTAATCTCATGGACTGAAATGTCTCCCTCAAGGTTTCTTCTGGTGATTACAGTTGTCTGTTTGCATTGCACAGGTCAAGCCTTGATCCTCTGATAGTCTCGTCTCCAGAAATGCTCAGTTTTTCAGCTGTTTGTGTAACTATGCACATAGTACTCTATGGGTATGTAGCCTTTAAATACTAGAGAAACTAATAACCGGCAAATTTTACCCATTTTCTCCCCCAGACTTAGTTCAGGTGGCTTTTTTCACCTGTTCATTTGACCTGGCAATTAAAGGTGTCCATTCTCCGTGGTGTGATGTGTTTGATGTAGATGATGCAAAGGTAAGTTCAGTTTGTATTTTTTTTCCTCATGGTTTTTAGTCACTAAAAACTGACTTTTATTTTGTTCTTTACTTAAAACAGTATTCCAGAAAATAAGTAAGATTAGGGGATGTAAATTGCCTGTGACTAGTTCCCAGTTTTCCTAAGGAGGGATGGACGCTTAAGTAGGTAAATAATTTGGGTTCACAGAACTCAGAAAAACATTTTTTTCATAGTAAGTTGATTTCTAGGTACCCCCACCATCCCAATTAAAAACCCACTCCTGGGAGAGGTGGCTAAAACAAAACTGAGTTACACTCAGAGCCACCCGTTTCCCACAGACCTGGTTCCTCCCATGGATCAAAATCATGAGCAATTGACTAAGAGGTGCCTGGTTCCACCTGGTGGTGGCAGTAATGCACCACAGTTTCATCAGTCACCTTCATTTCCCTTGTCACCTGATTGGTGGACTTTGAAGGAGTACAGAGAGACCTCTGATGACTCTAAGGGAGCTAAATTTTGCTGGACTCTCGAGTGCTGGGGTCTAGAAAGGGTGGATTAGAGAGTATTTTGGAATTGTCCTGGATTATAGACTCGGACCTTGGTTACTCCTTGGTACGTAACTTAAAATGTCAATGTTTGACATGGGAATCGAGAATTGCTTCCCAATTTATTTAAATTCTAACGGAATATGCTCCTTGCCAATATAGCAGGATTTCAAGCACATGAAGGTGCTTTATTTTGTTCTGTGAAGGCTTAGGTGGCCAGCAGCAGGTCAAAGGTCATGCCATGGATCCTGTACCAGTGCAGGAGGGGGGCTCTTGTGAGAGTTGAGAGGAGTGAAGGATGCTCAGTGGATGGCTGCTGTAGGGTGCTGTGGGCCAGAGTTTGTTATTCCCCTTATCCTCGGAGTCACTGCTGGATGCCCTACTTGTTCTCATCCCCCAGTAACCTCCTGTAATGGGCTCTAAACTCGTTAAATACCTACTGCTGGGAGAATTGGCAGGGCCAGTATAAAGCTGAGTTATCCTCAGAGAGAATGTTTTCCCCTCAGACCTGAGTCTATACCACCTTCCCAGTCCCGTTTCATGTTTCAGTCAGCTACAAAATAATGGGTTTGACTGTGTGTGTGTGTGTGTGTCATATAATAACCTTGCTCTCCCCTCTTCTGCCCGTCTCTGTTTCTCTTCCCCACTTCTCTGCCCTCCGAAACCAGTTTTCTGTTTTCTGTATATGAGAGAAAGCATGAGATATTTGACTTTTTCCCCCTGTTGCCCACTTTTGTCCCCCTACCTCTCCTCCCTGTAGATTTCTTTCTTCCCCTCACTTCCCCTTTAACTGGACACTTCTAAAATAAAAAGAGCACCATTGATAGTTCCACAAGTCTAAATACAAAGATGCTTCTGGTCACCGCTCACATGTGTCAGGACATCTCCTCTCCTGCCTACTCACACTGCGTGGGTGCAGGGGAAAATCATAACTGAGATAGATGGTTTTCAGTATCATATACACAAAGAATTTTGATAACAGAAATTTCATGTAACAGAATTTATCTGCCCAGGTTACTGTAGTTGTTGGAACATTTAAGATGTAATTGACTCGGCTGCCTGTTCTTGCCTGTTCTGAGTGACTTTGTGCGTGTGGTCCCGTGTAAAGACCTTCCATGTGCAGTGCTCTCCTTAGGTGGCCATACCTGCCTCTGCTGACTCATGTCTCATCCATCACCTGCATGTACTGCCCTTACCCTCCCTCGTGCACTTTTTACTCTCAACATTTACTCTTGCTTCCTCTTCATCTTTGTCTGTTAAATGCTACGTGTCGGGATGCCCCTGGAACTTTTTAATGTTAAAGACTTGTCTTTTTCTTTTTAGAATTACACGTCTCTTATTGCTTGTGAGTCCTCCCTTTTATTCGTTCTGAAGATTTTCAAACTGATAGACACTATAAGAATAATACAGTGAACACTTGTGCATCTAAACAAGATCATTCTCCTACAAGACCATAATTATATAGCCATTTAGATCATATTTTCTCATATCATGTATCTCATAACTATAATATATAATGATGCAATTTACAATTTCCACAGGTGTCTTCATAAAGCCCTTTATAGATGATCTTCTTACATTCAGAGTCACATCAAGGCTCACTGATCCCATTTGGTGGTGTGTCTATTTAGCCTCCTTTAGTCTTGAAAAGCACTCCAGCTTTCTTTTTCTGTTATACATTGGCGTCCTGTAAGAGTCTAGGTTTTTTTTTTTTTTCTTCTGCAAAATGTCTTACATGTGCCTGACTTTTTACTTACATAAATTCAGATTAAACATTTTTTACAAGAATTCTATTTGAGATACTTCTAAATGCATCCCATTACAAAGAATTATGTCAGTTTGCCACATCTTTGATATGTTTGATCATTTCATGAAAATGTTGCCTGCCAGGTTTCTCTATTGTGGGTACACACTTTATATATATATATATATATATATATATATATATATATATATGAAATTAAAGTTTTTGTTCACAATCTATTGTGGCTACAGAGATGGCCAGCAATGAAGAGCACTTGCAGTGCTTGCAGGGGACTCAGATTCATGCCCATTGTGGCTCACACCCTTCTTTAACTCCAAATCTCAGGATCTAATGCCTCCTTCTGGCCCCCAAGGCTTTGCTCATACATGGTGTGCACACAGATCATTCAAGCACACACACATGCACATACTTTTCTTAATTTAGGAAAATATGTAAGGGTATCTTATAGTATTGTGTTAACCTTTTCAGTGATTTGATTAGAAGTAATTTTGTTTCTTACAACTTAGAACTTACACTGTGCAGTAGGTTTACATCGTGAAGTATTTACAGGTGAAATGAAATTGTGTGAGGGATTTGAGGACAACCCATCGGTAACTAGAGCATAGTTGAAACAGGAGTGACTAAAGGTTGATTGCTGATGGAGTTGGATGAGAGGTACACATGGGATTGTCATACTACTGTTGTGAATATTTTTATGTTTGAAATTCTCCCTTGAAATGTTTGAAAATTAAAATTGATGGCTTGGTGGGATGGTTCAGCAAGCACACGTGTTTGCTGCCAAACCTGACAGCCTGAGTTTGGTCTCCTGAAGTCTGTGTGGTAGAAGGGAAGAGCCACCCTCTGTAAGTTGTCCTCTGACCTCCACTCTTGGTATACACCTGCCCATTCAAAGACACACACCCACACCCACCCACACACCCACCCACACCCACCCACCCACACACACACACTCACACTCACACTCACACACACACACTCACACTCACATACACACAATAAATGTATAACACATTTTAATGAAGAAACATTAACACCATTCTAAGAATCGTGGAAAATTTTAGTCTAAATTTAGTCTAAATCGTGGAGATTTTTAGTCAGGGCCTTTGTGAAAGGCTGGACCGCTTGTGCTGTTGTTTAGCCAACAGTTGTCTGAGTGGCTGTTTTATGTCAGTCATTTGATTAGAACTGAAAACACTGATGCAAGACAGCACAAGGAAGGAAAGATGTTAATATACGCTCTCCTGTGGTGACGGGATAGTTAAGATAGAAGTCACCCGGAAGTCGGTTCAGCAGCAGCCAGGCAGGTCTTTACTAAAGAGCCAGCCGTTCCCCATAGTGTCACCTATTTTACAGCTCTGTGCCCTCTTCTGCTTAAATGCATCTGTGTTTCCTAGTCTGTCGTCAACTTTTGTGTTTAGGATTTTCCTATAAAAGTCATTTGCATTATCTAGATCTGCTGTCTGGCAAACCTGTCCCTCAACACTTAAAAACTCAACTTCTCTTTAGATCTTTGAGTCTGGTTTTTGTTTACTCAGATTTTCCCAAGTCAGGTAGCTTATACTTTGCTATAAAATTCTGTTGTGCCTGCACTTTCAAGTTTATTATATGACATGTTAAAAGTGTGCACGGGCTGGGTTTTTTTGTAATGGTAATTTGCTACTGTTTTTATTCCTAATTCTACTCGTTTATTTCTGACTATACTTAATATTTACCTAGTTCCTTTTATGTTGCAATCTGTCTGTTTTTTGTGGCTACTTTTCCCTTTTGCTGACCTTGATGCGCTTTGTTTGGGATCCAACACACTGGCCTAACTCTGCTCCTAAACTTTGACTAGCACTGAGTTTCTCTAGGAGCTCTTGTCTTAAATTTCTTAAAAAATTCACATTGACGGGGATTAGAAATCGGAAGAAAGGGTCCAGAGCTGATGATCTTTGTTTCCCTTTAACCCAGACTCAAAGTTTTGGTGGCACAGAAGGCGCTGTGAGTCCTTGGGGGGGGGGGGGGCAGCCCTTAGATCCCTGCTGCTGCAGCTATGGGTGGTGGAAAGCTAAGATTGTGCTGTTTGCTCTATGATGAAATTAGTGCAACTCTTCTGAGAATTACTGTTAATCAGGAAATCAGTTACATTTCTGGAACTGTATTAGAAATTACTTTTGAAATGTTCCCGTTTAGGTACTGGAATATTTAAATGATCTGAAACAGTATTGGAAACGAAGTTACGGCTATACCATTAACAGCCGATCCAGCTGCACCCTGTTTCAGGATATCTTTCTACACCTGGACAAAGCCGTTGAGCAGAAGCAAAGGTAAAAAGAAAATCCTCAAAAATATGGAGTTCATTTGGAGCTTGCTATTTATAAGCTTCTGGAAAATACCTTATAATGCATGATTTTTTTTTTGTTCATTTCAAAAAAAAAAAAAGATGTGGTAATTGATATTGCCCAATCGGTATACTAGTTTTATTGAAGTTGTATTGTGCATTGTCCTAAGACTTGTTTTTTTCCCTCTCAACATTACATTTCTGGCAATAGTTCTGTAATTACATATGGACTGCAGAGAGGTGGTCCATGCTGTGAGTGTGTGGCAGTTTTAACCATCTTCACTTCTCAGTGGCACTTGAGTTCTTTGTAGTTTGTTACAAAATAGTTCCTGATATGAAGATGCAAAGCACTTTTCTTTAATCCAGCACTCGGGAGGCAGAGACAGGCGGATCTCTGTGAGTTCGAGACCAGCCTGGTCTACAAGAGCTAGTTCCAGGACAGCCTCCAAAGCCACAGAGAAATCCTGTCTCGAAAAACCAAAAAAAAAAAAAAAAGAGAGAGAGAATCTCTCATTTGAAGAAAAGAAGCTTTGTTAACATTCACACTTTAAGTTATTTTTACAAGTAAGTTCCCCCGGGCTTGAGGGCATAGTTCAGAAGTCAAGTGCATGCTGAGTATGAGCTCTGTAGCACCAAAAACAAGCAAATAAAATTAAAGCTCATGAGAGAAACATTTAATAGACCTTCAACCCTGTTTCATTTGACAGATACATATTTATACATGTTGACCAAAATGGGGCCACAGAAACTGGAGATGGTCTGTTTCATAGAAGTTAAAGTAGTTTTGTTCATACCAATGTCTATTATTTATGGACCCAGCACTAATTTGTAAAATGTTCTTGGGTTTGACAGGAGGTAGGGAAAAAAACCTGATAAAACCCACAACTAGATTAACTACTAGAAACACTTTAAAAAATGGCATGTGTTTGTTCGTTTATTTAATGTGTAGGTGTCAAGAGATGACTCCTAGGAGTTGATTATCTCTTCCACCATATGGGGTCCACGTATGAACCTTGGGTCATCCGGCTTGGTTCTTTTACCAACTGAGCCACCTCGCTGGTCCAACCAGAAGCTTCTGTGGGGATTTCAAATAAAGATAATACTGACAATAAGAGTTAATGTTTTTCTGTTTGACTTTCTGAACGGCTTCCAACCTTACGCTTTATGAGATAACAGACCTTTCCTGGTTGGTCATTGTTCATTGGATCAGTAGATTTATAATTGCGTCAGCAGTCTCTTAAATAACTTTGTAAGGCTTGCTAGTATAATTTAGTTTTTGCTCAAAGCTAAAGTAATAAAATTCTATCAGTAGTGTATACTGAAAATTCAAGACAGTACAAAGAGAGAAATTCCAAATAATCCCAGAAATGTAAGATGTAGCCTATTTATGAATTGTAAGACCCAGTTATTGGTTGAGTAGAATTCTTTGACTTTGTTTTTGTTTGTTTTGTTTTACTTTCTTTCTTTTGAGACAAGGTTTCTCTATTACGTAGCTCTGGCTGTCTGGAACTCACTGTATAGACCAAGCTAGTCTTGAAATCACAGTCCCTGCCTCCCAAGTGCTGTGATTAAAGGAGTGCACTACCACATCTGGCTATGGTTGAGTGGAATTCTTATCAAAATCTGACAGGTTTCTTTGAAAATTTGAGAGGTTAGTTCTAAATTTATACAGGGATTTAAAGGTCTATAGAAATGAAAATAATTTCAAAAAAGAGCAAAAGGATTTGCCATATTTCTGTCAGAACCTACAAAAAGCCTGGTGTACTGGTGTGATCCTGGTGTGCTGGTGTGTACCTGGTAGACTCCTAGTGTGCTGTGTACCTGGTGTGCAGGTGTTCTGCTGGTGTGCTCCTGGTATATTCCTGATGTACTGGTGTACTCCTGGTATGCTGGTGTGTACCTGGTAGACTCCTAGAGTGATGGTATGCTCCTGGTGTGCTGGTATGCTCCTGGTATACTCCTGGTATACTCCTGGTGTGCTGGTATGCTCCTGGTGTACTCCTGGTATACTCCTGGTGTGCTGGTATGCTCCTGGTGTGCTGGTATGCTCCTGGTATACTCCTGGTGTGCTGGTATGCTCCTGGTGTGCTGGTATGCTCCTGGTATACTCCTGGTGTGCTGGTATGCTCCTGGTATACTCCTGGTGTGCTGGTATGCTCCTGGTATACTCCTGGTGTGCTGGTGTGTTCCTAGTATGCTGGTGTGCACCAGGTGTGTCCCTGGAATCCCAGCACATCTATGTCCCTCCTAAGTATTTAGTTAACTGTGGGTATAAATTCGCATGGGTACTGATTTTTTTTTAATTTGCCATTATTCTTTGGATAACACTGAATATTAACCTTTACATAGCCATTAGAAATAATCTGGGGAAAATAAGAGGATCAACCTCATTCATAGCTGATAGAAATATAAAATATTATACCCTTTCTGGAGAACAAGGCAATTTCTGACATTAAACATCTATGTGACTGAGCAAATCCATGCAAATTATCTATTTGGTTGTCATGATGGTCTCTTATGCCTTGGGTATTTGAGATTTTGTAACTAATAGGGTTACTTTTTTAGGTTGTATAATTCTTTTAACACTAGATGGTACCATTGAAACCACTGTGCCATGACACCCTTGTAGAGGGGCACAATAACTTTGTACTGCTTTTTATCAGGTTACTCATTAAAACAGGGGGACATGGTCTCTTTAAGTTCTTAGGAATGTGTTCACATTCTAGGTCATTTTGTAAGGTCGGGACCCTGGGTGTAACACTGGGGCCATGATCTTTCTTCGGTGCTAGATATTGAAAGATGATGGGCTAAATAAGGGGAGTTCACGTAAATAGTATGGCTACTCCTTAAGTTCAGATTCATATGTCTAACTGTTTTGTTTTGTTTTGTTTGATAGACAAACAAAGTTTTATTGCTATTCTGTGTGGGTCTGAGACATTTTCACTATACTGCTCTTCAGTAACTTAACTCAATGCCTTGGATAGCTGGTGCTGTGTTTGTGATGTAGAATGCGGTGTAGATATGACCGCTGTTTCTCCCGTACTTCTTACGGTAGCGCCACACCAGCCTCCCAGACATCTAAGCCATAAGACCACCACATCGCTGTGGACTCCCATCTCCCTCACTTTCTATATCTACTCATTGCCTTATGGGTTTTCTAAGTTACATTTAGTTGTTCATTTACCTATGTCCCTCTGCTCTCCACCACAGCCTTCCCTGCCATGTGTCCCCTCTGCCCTCACCACAACCTATAAGCGCTAGACAGTCAGCCGGGCAGTTGGTGGGGTCAGTTCATTTGCCTGATTCCTCTCTCACTCTGTTGTCTGTCTAAAAACTGCAGTTTCATATCATTCTTCCGGCTTCCTAGTAGGGGGGATAATAGTAGCTTTATCCCTGTTCTTCTATCTTGTGAGCTTAATTTCTTCATGGTTTTGCTTAAGAAAAAACATGTTTGTGTCATTTTAGTTCTAGGCCTATACTTCTCCAGAGACTTACTGTAAGCAAAGTTGATTTTGGCTGATTTTCTTCTCAAAGTTTCTTAAAGCTCTGGCAGTTCTGGCCACTTGTTTGTACTCTTACATAAGTGTGCAAGTGGTGAGATTCGCCCAACGCACCATATGATATTCCTAGATCGCATTTGCAAACAGACTTTGTGTAACACCAGTTGCGTGTGAAGCATACATTAAGAGCTTAGAAGATCTAGCTGAGTACATTTGGGGGAAAACATACAATTACTAGTTTTTCTTACTGAGCATATCAAATTACTTCAGGCATTTTATCCATTTTGAACATACACATAGTTGCATTTCTTGATGTAATTTTAGACTTCAGATTAAATTTTAGTTTTGGTTGAAGATTTAAAGTCTCCTCACTGGCTTATATAAGATGAGGGTGTAATTTCAGAACCATACTCTCCCTGGGTAACAGAAGGTAACCAATCCAGTGACCACCACACTGGACTTCTTATTTCCGAGATTTGATGGGGACTAGATTTGCTTAGGAGCAAGGGAATCAGCTCAGCAGGTAAGGTGTTTGCTGTGCAAACATAAAGTAATGTATTTGAACCCCAGCACCCATGTAAAAAGCAGGACATGGCAGCACTCCTCCCCAACCCAACACTGGGAGGCAGAGACAGG